CGGGGACATGTTTCGGTGTGAAGTCAAATTGGTCAATGAAGTACATCCATCGTCCGATCGTGCTGCTCACCGTGTCCTGCGTCTTGTAGTAGGTCAATAGATTGTTGTCTGTGACCCATGCGAACCTACGACGCCCAAGGACGAAGTGCCGCCATCGTTTGAGAGCCATCACGAATGCGAGCAACTCCTTCTTCCTTACATCATCAAGCGAGTTGATGGGAGGCACTTTGTGGCTGAAATACTCCACAGGGTGCCAGTCGTCGCCGTCGTGTTGTTCCAAGATTGCCCCAATGCCATAGCCAGAAGCGTCCGTAGTCACTCGCGTCGGCAGGCTGGGGTCATAGATGCTAAGGACGGGTGCCATGAGCATAGCCGTCTTAAGTGCTTGGAATGACCGGCGTGCGTCGTCATCGAATACGAATGGCACCTTTGGCGACTGTAACCTCGTCATAGGTGCAGCAATCCTGGAGTATCCGGTGATGAATCGTTGATAGTAGCCCGCCAACCCCATGAATGAACGAACGTCCGTGGTGTTGGTGGGCTCGGGCCATACTCGTAGGGCCTCAATCTTGTCCGCAAGCGGACGGATGCCTTGCGACGTCACATAGTGTCCCAAGTACTCCAGCTCCTGCTGTGCGAACTCGCACTTGTCGCGGTTTGGTTTGTATTTGGCCTGTCGTAGTCGCTCCAAAACGGTGCGCAGGTGTTCCACATGCTCGTCCAGACTCCAGCTAAACCAGAATGTCGTCGAGGTAGATAAGTACGAAACGATCCAGCATGTGTCGGAACTCCGTCGTCATAGCCACTTGGAAAGTGGTTGGGGCATTCGTAAGGCCAAATGGCATAACCAGCCATTCGAAATGCCCATACCGTGTCTTGAATGCGGTCTTGTAGCGATACTCCTTGCGAATCTCGAGTTGGTGGTACCCTGACTTGAGATCCAGCTTAGAGAAGAACTGGGCGCCGCCCAATCGCTCGAGAAGGTCGTCGATGCGTGGGAGAGGGTCGGCGTTCCTGATCGTCTGCGCATTGAGCTTGCGATAATCGATGCACAACCGCAGGTCCTTGTTCTTCTTCCGGACGAAGAGAACAGGAGCACCGTATGGCGATGAGCTAGGCCGAATCCAGCCTTTCTCCAGAAGGTCGTCGAGTTGTGCCCGCAGCACACTTAACTCTTCCTCGCTCATTCGGTAGATGCAACCGCGTGGAGGTACGGCCCCGACCCCGAGGATGATCTCGTGGCGGATGGGTCGATCCGGTACTACTCCGTGCGGGCCTTCGAACACGTCGCTGTAAACGTCGAGAAGCTCGGTGATGCGTGGATCCGAAGGTGAGTCCGTCGATGAAGCGTCTGGGGCGGAAGGGCGTGGAGAAAACACACCCCCATCTCCTCGCATGCTTGCGGCGGATACCACGTGGCAGCTGATCGAAGGATGAGGAAGAGGCACCGTGCATGGAACTAATACTCCGTTCCGGTCACGAACGTGAACGGTGCGGTTGAAGAAGTTCACCGGGTGATCCTTGCTTCGCAGCCATTACATGCCCAAGATCATGTCAAATTTGGTGTCCAGAATGTCAAAGGACACCGCCTCACTTGCGTGAGGGGCAAAGTACACTGGGACGACGTCAATGCACCGGTCGATGGACTTGTGCGTATGACCGTCTGCCAGGGTGACTTGCGTAGGCTGGGACTTCCTCCGGACACGTGGGCCAAGGCCGGCTCGTACCATGAAGTCCTGGCTGATGTAGTTGCGAGATGCTCCACAATCGATCAAGGCACTGCAGGTCGCCTCTCCGATCTGAATGCGTACGTATAGCAATGGTGCGTCGATGTCGTCGTACCGTTGCGTCTTGAACTCGCGGTCGATCTTCGCGATGTAAACGTGAAGGTCGACAACCTCAACTTTGGCGTCCATCAACGGAACTGGTACTGCAGTGTGCAAGTACCCGTCGGCAATGCGGTAATGGCTGGCCGGTGGGTGTTCCGAAGATAGTTGTGCATAGAGCGTGCCGAAGTCCGGATCAGACTGATATGCCCGGATGAAGTGTCGCTGAAGCTCCTCGTCGAATGCGAAGGCATGATGTGTCATAGCGCAAAGATCAAGTCTTCGCGAGAGTGCATCTGCTGCGCGATTGGAGCGGTCGGGGACATGCTTTGGTGTGAAGTCAAATTGGTCGATGAAGTACATCCATCGTCCGATCGTGCTGCTCACCGTGTCCTGCGTCTTGTAGTAGGTCAATGGATTGTTGTCTGTGATCCATGTGAACCTACGACGCCCAAGGAGGAAGTGCCGCCAG